TGAGCACCACTGCCAAGCGCGGTGTGCCACTTTGGTCTTTGGGCTCCGTTTCAGTACTCACTTATCTTTATTATTTTTTTTTAAAAATAAAAAATAATTGTAATTGACTTTACCCATCATCATCTTCATATTTTTTATATAAAACTGTAAATATCTTTTAAAATTTTAAATAAATTATTCGTTTTTGTTCTATTTTTGTTTTTTCGTTGTTGTTAGGTTAGGTTCTTTAGTTTTTAATTGTCGCTTTACGACAGGCTTTAGACGCATCGAAGTCTTCTTCCAGTGCCTCCAGGTCCTCCTCATGCAGTTCTGGAGTAGTTGCGGCCAAGGCCACAGTCCCGCCTTTTTTCCTCTCTTTTTCTTTCTCAACTTTTTGTCGCTGCGTCACTGGCAGCGGCTGGTCCGGAGACGTGAGCGGTCGCTTCTCCGGAGCCGCACTCGAGCCTCCCCTTGGGTTCTGCGTGCTGGGGCCTGCAACAGGCCTCACCGGAGCACCCTGGGGGGAGGGGGCGTTCGCGCCAGCGACTTCCGTGGCACAAATAGGGGCGGTTCATCCCTCATTATAACAATATAAGTCCCTTCTTAGTCCAAAATATGATTACAGAAAAAATTAAATAAAAGTGTAATAAAAATAAAAATTTCCAAAAGATGTAAACTTTAAAAATTTTACTTCCGGAGGGGCATACCCAAGGATTTACACCTATAGGGGAGCAAAAGGTTCAGTCAATTATCAAAAAGTCCAAAAAATTTAAAGTCAATTTTCCAGATGGTCGCTAGATGTCTGGGTATAATAAAAATACCCAGCGCCCTCTAGCGGAACACACACGGACTAAGGCACAAATAAGATAAAAGTACTAAATTTTAAAATCCTAAACCACTAAGAGTGTCACTGTCACAAGCCTAAATAAAGATGTCGTTAGACACTTAGCACCTATTGTGGCGCCATCTAGCGATATCAGCCTAACCTAAAAAGTAACCAAACAAACTATAACTAAAAAAAATCTTAACTAGAGTGTCACTGCCACAAATAGTACAAAAAAGTTCCACTTAGCTAACACAGATGGCGCTGAGGCACAGGCGGTCGCCAGCACCGCTCAGCGGTACGTAGCGGAAGAACCCTCTCGCAGCACAAACAACGCAGGCCGTGCCGGTTGGGCGCATGGTGCCTGCAGAGGGCGTCACAGTGCCGGAAATGCACACTATCGCCCCCTGGTGGCGGAAAGCTGCCGAAGTTTCGAGAAGGTCCTCGAAACGACCTGTCAGATTCAAAGTTTGAATCAGACAGCCACGTGCTAGCACTACCCACAAAGTTCCACAAATCACAAGAAAACACACAAAATAAGTCCGATAAAGCGTTAATTCGCGACAAATTGTACTATTACATCCACCATACACTAAAACGTAAGTATCTATAACAAAAGCCAAAAGAAAAGCACAAGAAAAACAATAAAAAGCAATTGGAAAACAAAAACACGCAGCGCGAGTTCACTACACGTCCGATCGAAGCGACGACCGGAACCGAAGTAGCGACCAGAGGTATGTGTAGCGGGCCCGGGACCGGATCAGGCTAACACTGTTGCATTTTGGCGTGGACTGTGGTCAGAGCCCGTAAACCACAGCTAGGGCCCTTGGATTGAAGTTGTGGCGAGCCAGAGTGTGAGCGTTACGCCTATGGACCCCGTCACCATAACGCCGGAAGACATGGCTGAGGCGATTCGTAGGGCCCCGAACTGAAAAATCCGGGGCTCGACGGACTGCATTATTATTGGCTGAAGGGGTTCGTAGTGTGTCACGCTGTGCTCACCCGACAGTTTCAAGAGGCTCTCGATCAGAAATCGCTCCCGAGCCTCTTCACTACTGGGATCACTCACTTGGTTCCTAAAGATCAGTATACCACAGACCCGAGTAAATACCGCCCCATCACGGGTCTACCCACCATATATAAGACACTGACATCCATTTTGAACGTGAGAATCACTCGTCACCTGGAGCTAAATAAGGTGATGTCACGCGCTCAAAGTGGATGTCGGGGTGGTGGTCGTGGAACCAAGGAACCACTCCTCATTGACACGGTCATTGGCAAAGTGGTGAGACGTAACCGCCGGAACTTCTCCGCCGCCTGGATAGACTACAGAAAGGCGTTTGACTCGGTGCCCCATACATGGCTAAAGAGGGTCCTCGAGCTGTACAAGATTGACTGTATAGTCCGAGACTTCCTCGGGCAGTGTATGGGGCAGTGGAGTACGATCCTTTATCATCTAGGTGAGTGGATGATGGCTGCAGAAAGCCGCATAAGGATAAAAAGGGGTATCTTCCAAGGCAACTGTCTGAGTCCAATCTGGTTCTGCCTCTCTTTGGACCCTCTCAGTACTTTACTGGAGGGCTCCGGGAGGGGATTTCAGCTTCGGAAAGGAGGTACAAAAGTGACCCAGCTTTTCTATATGGATGACTTCAAGTTATTCACCTCCAATTGGAGCTCCATTCCAATGAATTTAGCAATTCTATTGGAATGGAGCTGGGGACGGATAAGTGTGCGGTCCTCCATGTTGAAAGGGGAAAGGTTGCTAACTCTGAGGGCATAGACTTATCTATTCCCGTCAACTTAAGGAACCTTTCCGAGGCTGAAACATACCGATACCTGGGTATGTCACAGAACATCGGTATCGATGAGGCTGGTATGAAACAGTCAGTTTGCGACGTGTTGACCAAAGTGCCTAACAGCCTTTTGTCAGGTGTGAATAAGACACACGCATATAACGGCTGGGTCATGCCTGTCCTCATGTATACATATATATACCATACTTTTGGCATACTCAGGTGGACTCAGACTGAACTTAACGCCCTGGATAGAAAAGTCCGCACTACTATGACGTCCCATAGGATGCTTCATCCGAGATCATCGGTAATGAGGCTGTACTTGCCGCGAAAGCATGGTGGGCGTGGCTTTTTGAGCGCGCTCACCATGCATAATCGCGAAGTGTGCAGCCTCCGTAATTACTTCCTGGCGAGATCGAATGATCCATTCCATAAGGACGTCATTTCTAGTTATAAAGGACTTACCCCTCTATCCTTAGCCAATGAGCGATGGCAGGACCCAGCAGTTCTTAGCATTTCCGACCGGGAGACCGTATGGAAGGAGAAGGAGCTCCACGGGAGGTACTACAGGGCTCTACATGAGCCCTTCGTAGATACAGTCGCCTTCCTCAACTGGCTACGTTTCGATAACATCTTCGGGGAAACCGAGGGTTTTGTCTGTGCAATACAGGTTCATACAGGTATTAAGAGCAACAACTATCGGAGATACATCCTAAAGTATGGCACCGTCGACGTCTGTCGAGATTGTCGCCATCCCGGGGAGTCACTTAGGCATGTCATCTCCGGTTGTTCGGCGCTTTCTAACTCTGAATACTTGCACAGGCACAACCTAGTAGCCAGAATTCTACAGCAGGAGCTCGCTCTGAAATACGGTCTCGTGGACCGGAAATTGCCGTATTACAAGTACTTGCCGGAAGCCGTGCACGAAAATGACCACGCCAGGCTCTACTGTGATAATGGCCCGGCATTATCACAGACACGACTATTCTTGCGAATAAGCCTGATATTGTGCTGATGGACCGGGCACAGTCAAGGATATTTTTGGTCGACATTACCATTCCATGTGACGAGAACCTCGTGAAAACCGAAATAGATAAGCGAACAAAATATCTGGACCTGGCTCACGAGGTGACCGACATGTGGCGTGGTCGGCCGGCCGAAATTATTCCTGTAGTCGTTTCTGCGAACGGGCTAATCCCAGTCAGCCTCTCGGGTCATCTGAGGCGACTGGGAGTCCATGACGGACCACTCTGGGCTCAAATGCAGAAGACGGTGCTCCTCGATACCGCCCGCATCGTCTGCCGGTTTTTTTCCCTTTCCTTCGAACCCTCGGCCGTTTGGTCTCCCCTGCCGAGTGCCTCCATCTGGTTGGATCTTATTTATTTATCAATTTTTTGTATTTATTTTATTTTTTGATATTTATGTATATTTATCTTTTCATTTTTACTTAAAATTATATATTTATAGAACCCAACCAGATGAGAAAATTATATAGATACCCCAAAAATTAATAATTTATATTTGTAATATTATATTGTAATATTTATAATAATTTAAATTATAAAAAACTATTTATTATTTATTTATTAATAAATAATATTAATTTCGTTTTTTTCTTCGAATGATATAATAATCATTTCAAACTAGCGCACAACAGCCCACTTTTATCTAGACAACTTAGCGATCGCAGCGCTTCACTTATTTTATCCATTTTTCTGGGACACTATTGTAGACAGAGAAGCATTATCTGTCTACGGACACTATTTTCTACAGCGATCGTTTCTAAATTCTATGATGTCATCGTTGATCGTTGATGGTAGGAGTTTTGGCGGGAACTTGACAGATTGTCGCTCCTGTTTTGTGGCTTGAATACTGATTTGAAGTGGTTTTTATTTCGTAAAAGTGACGCGAGTTTGTGAACTAAGTTTTCGCGCATGTAAACTATTCGAGAAAATGACGAAACTAGTGCTTTTATGTCGATCGATATAAACCTCAAGTTTTTTGAATCGCTTGTGCGGTTTATGAACTTGAGTGGCTATCGTCATCAACTGTACGCTGGGTTGAGCTGTCTTCAAAATATCCCGAGGGCTTCGTAATGTGCTGTATCAGCATAATATGAAGAAAAAGAATATAAAAATGAAGATTCCGAAAGAAATGATAGGCACAGAAGGGCTAGATTCCTGCGCCGTAAAGCCAGTTAATAAAAAAAGTCGTTGACAGTTGACACTGCCAGTAACCGCAGATTATAAAAAAATACAATTTATCTTTTGAAACTCAATCCAACTCAATCTCAATACAAACATTGACCAAGTATTTTGTTTTGCTAATTTGTTTTTACAAAATAAATACTTATTCTTTAGATTTCTGTATATATTTTTAGTTGTTATGTATTAACCTTTGTTAAAATGGATAATGTGTTTATTCTCAATAATGTAAGGTAACTACATATTTTACAATTTAAACGAAACAAGTACGCAATTCATCATAACGTAGACATCTCGTTTGACCTCTTTTTAAGATAAAACTTTTGTCCTAAAGGTTGCAAATCACTATTAGCTTGTACAAGATACAATCTCTTATCCACTTTTTAAGGTTTTCCGGATATAATAAAATATACATTGGCTAGGTACCTATATGATATTTAAAATATACGAGTTCGAAAGTTTTGTTGCTTCCCCCTTAGCATTATAGGTAGTAGTGTTTCATATACCAATGCTTAAGATTTAAAATTCTAATAAGTTGTGTTGTGATACAATAGCTAAGTTTTGACTACACTTAGTGTTATGAACATTGGTATTATGCATACAAATGTATATATATCATGTTGTAGTTCAACAAAATTGATCTATTTTCTCCTAGTGTCTGACTACTTGTCAAAATTAAGTAAGAGCTTTTTCATGCTCCTACTACAGAACATAAGCCTTTTTTAACTTCCCGCTAAAAAAATGAAAGTTTTCAAAAAATAGGGATCACCCCGATTTTAGAAAATCGAGTTTTCATCAAATCTCGACGTTTTGAGATTTCAGGAAGCTATTGGCTGCGTTTGGTAGAAAAAAGCGCTAGCAAGTGCTTGTAAGCATAATGGCAATTGTAAGCGGTAAGCACTGTCCAATGGTAAATAGCTATTTTCCTCTAGGACATGAAGTTGGCTTCAACCGGGGAACCTAACCTAATTTAAATATATGTTTCTAAAGTATACATATTAAAAAAATAACCAATCATGAATTTTTTATACATGTATAATAAGTTTATTCATTCATTATATTACTTGAAACTAATTGCACAAAACAACTTATAAACTCTACTTCAAAACAAACAAAATAAATAAGCAAAATGGCGGATTGTGTGAGCGCTACTGAAGTTAGCAAACATGTTCTGGCCGAAAACTATAGTTCCGCCATTTTGCTTACAAGCGCTTGCTAGTGCTTTTTTCTACCAAAACGCAGCCATTCTGACAAATTTCACATGGACGTCCATACGGATGTATGTATGTGTGTAAGTATGTAATCCTTTCATAACCTTTGAATGTCTTGATCGATTCAGATGCTGTTTGCGGTATTCTAAAGATCTCAATGTGGAATAGTTTTGGTGATAATATGAACTGATTCAGACAAGTAGATTTTGAGAAATCACAAAAATAAAAATTTTGAAAAACTGTTTTCTTGGAATAACTTTTAAACGGCTTTACCAATCGATTTCAAAAACTAATCGGCTCTTAACCTCAAAAAATCACGTCTCATCATCAATCTTTTTTAAATGTTTTAAACATGTGTAGAACTCAATTCTATTCATTTAAATTTCTTTCTTAATTATGATGGTTTCATAAACACATGAACATTCATACACATTATAGTTTACATTCTTGTGGATCTTAATTGTGGACTACTATTGCTAATGACGCATAGTTCATTTCATCATCATCATCATTACAGCCCTTCACAAGTCCATGCCTCCCCCAAGGAATGCATAGTTCATTTACGCATAGTATAATAGTCAATTTCATTGACACAACTGTATTTTAAAGTTCATTTGTGTTTTATTTATGATTTATCAACCCCAATATAGGTTATTTGTCATTAATCTGCAACAATAGAAGTCACACTAATGTTACTTTAATTTGAATTATGCATATAATTGAAACATTTATTATTATATACATTGCAAAATATATTTTGGTTAGGATTTTCTTCCGTTATGGAACAGAACCGACACATCCTTGAGTTGCTTAGTCCTAGGATGGACATGTGCTTTTTAAGACAACAGTGTCCAGTTAAGGCTCTTGCCAGAATGCGCAATTTATTTTTACTTAATCCCAGGGCTTCTGAAGCGAATTTACGATCAAAGGCCCAGATTAAGGTTTTAGAATGTTTTAAGCCTGGTGTGTCAGACCAGATCTTAAGTGAGTTTCAAGGGTCAATCGGGCTAGGCTTCTTGAGATTCCACAAAATGGCTCGGGTCCAAATTGTGTGCACTTTGAGCCCTCCCATGCAAGTTTATCAGCAAATTCGTTGCCTACAATACCATCTTAGAACGACCCTGTTGTTACAACCCAGGGCGTTTAAACGGTTCATGCAGTTTCCAACTAGCTTTGAGTTCACTAAGTTTGATCTCAACGCTAGCAGTGCTGCTTGACTATCAGAGTTTATGTAAATTTTATGGTTGACGTAGTGTTTTTGCAGATTGATTTCCGCACACCGAAGTATGGCGAAAATTTGTGCCTGGAAGATAGAGGTGTATCTACCCAAATTCATACTAAGTTTGAATTTGGGGCGTTCCCCGTAAATTCCAAAGCCTACGTCGAGGCCCATTTTAGACCCATTGGTATACCATATGAGGCTACCGACCTCACAGATAACCTGGCCATTCAGCCAGTCTTCTCTGGAGGGTAATTCCACTATATACTTTTTATCAAAAGTGTGTAGTGGACGCATGATATCTGAGATCATGCATAAGACCGGTGATTCCTTAATTGAGTCGAGCATGGATCTCAATCTGTAGAAGAGCAAGCTCAGACCGCCCTGGGCGTTAATCCTATACAAACTAGCCCTCGTCTCCTTGTCTAGATAGAGATCAAGGGGCGTTAGGCATAGAAGTGCATTAAGAGCCGCTCCAGGCGATGATCCCACGTGTGTTAGCACTCTAATTAAATCTAAAAAGACAGTACGGAAGGAAACTACTGATATTGATTGTATCAGTATCAGCAGTTTTTGTTATTGTACGCAGTGAATTTTGATAACAGAAGCTACAAAAGAGTATTTTTCGTCATGAATAATTCGGGTACGCAGTTTATTCAATAACTTTGTTGACATCAAAATTATTGTCATTTTGTAGTACATTTCGTCGTATGTTTTATGAGACTAGGTAGTTCTTAATAAAAGCTAGATGTACAATAAAGTGGCTATCATTTTGAAGTCGACAAAGTTATAGAAATGGTTTGTAGACGCTGAAGTACAAACAGCACATGAATTTGTAGGTAATAAAGATGTTAATGATGATGTATTTAGAATTACAATACGATCTCTCTCTCTCTCTCTATCTCTCTCTCTCTCTCTCTCTAAAATTTCTTCTATTCTAAAAGATCTATAAACTTACGTGGAAACAGACAAAGACATGGTTACAATCACACCTACAAAGAAATTCTTAACTCGGGGACAATATGCAGATAATCCTGAACCAACATCACACCTATAAAACAAAAACTCGGTGTAGATAAATTATTTGTGACGTTTTTGTTGTTTAATAAAAATGATAAGGAAAGAGAAAATACGCAAGAATGGAGGAGTATTTCTAAATATACTGATAGTATATTTAGAAATACTCCTATTTATTTAGAAATATATTGATAACTAGTTCTTGACAAATGTCACAGACCTAATCTTAATATGTATAAATTACGTGTCACGTTGTTTGTCCGCGATGGACTCCTAAACTACTTTACCGATTTTAGTCAAATTCGCACACCGTGAGCAGTTTGGTCCAACTTGAGAGATAGGACAGTTTTTGTGCCCATGAGTGACCCCCAATTTTTTTGTGCGAATTTAAAGATATTTAATAGGACATGACAACGGGTCGTCGAAAAGGGCAGAACAACGTCTGCCTAGCAAGCTAGTATTAATATATATATATATATATATATATATATTTTAATTACTTTTCACGTTGTTTGTCCGTGATGGACTCCTAAACTACAATCAAATTTGCACACCGTGTGCAATTTGGTCCAACTTGAGAGATAGGATAGTATGTTGCCCATGAGTAATCCACTTTTTTTTTGCGAATTTAAAGATTTTTAACAGCACATGACAAAGGGTCGTCGAAAAGGGCAGCACAACGTCTGCCTAGCAAGCTAGTTTATTATAGATATTAGCGATCCGCCCCTGCATCGCAAGGGTGAATTGTAGATCTCGATAGCAGAAGCACCTACCGGATCTAATTGTAAATATAAACCATTCTCGAATCGACTTAATCACACACAAAATTTTATCAAAATCAGGCTAGCTGTTTAGAAAAAATTCAGTCGCATACACATGTATAACAACCCTCTCAGAAGTGAGAGGAAGCCTGTGCCCAGCTGTGGGACGTATACATAGGCTGTAAATTTAACTATACTACTTGTTTTTAACACAAACAAATTAAAAATATTTTTAAGGTTTGTTGTACGGAGTTTGCACTGTATCTATCTACACGTATTCAAACTGCTTTTTACATTTTATTTCCACTGCGAAGTAAACAAAAGTTGTCTACATGCACCGTTCTTAATTTCGTCTCAGTAATTAAATAACTGGTTCTCATTCTCAAGTTTTCAAGCAGCAGCAGACCTTAAAGCAAAAAAAAATGTTAAATATGATTCAGATAAAAAAGAAACTCGGAATCTTTCCAGTTTTTATTGAACAAAATGACAGGCACGGCGCGAAGTTCAACACTCAAGTGAGCAAGTGACGTTGTCGCCTCGTTTCCCTGTCGTGTTCACGTGGTGTAAGTTGACTTGACTGCTTGAGTAGTTCGAGTTGAGCAGTCGGTGCGCGAGTGTGCGGCGTGTTGCTCGTGTTTATCGCGCTGCCATTGTCCGCAAACTCTTTTGTGACGTAGGGGCATGATCGCTTAGTTTACCGAGCGCATTGTGTAAAATAAAAATGAAAGTGGACAAAGATATGAGCCTTGCGGGGCCAGTGGACACTAAACCTATTCTCTCCGACAGGAAGGGGAGCCTGAAGGTGACCATTACTCCGGCACAGCATAAGACTCTCACCCATTTGCCAAAGCGGCCGCCAGTGGATCTGGCTTTCACCGATTTGATGTACAGGGTGCATGAAGGAAGAAAAAGCAGTAAGTGTATGGTTAAGGACCATCTATTATTCGTCTATCCTAGTTAGCCAGTTTGTGTGCATACATCCTAGCATTTCGTATCAATTTGTGATAAATTATACGCCATTTTATTGTTTTAACTACTCTTTAAAGTCATTCTTAACGACATCTTAATTATTTCACTATCTCATTAGTTTACTTTAAAACTGGGTATCTGTCGACCTCATTGAATGTTTCTAGTTTGATTTTAATAACTATTTTAAAATCCATATAAGCAGTGGGTGTAAGTAAATTGAATAATAATTATTGCTTAATAATTACTTAAAGATTTATTATATGGTGTATGTAGAGGGTTAGATATAGTTTTATATAATTGTCACTTTCGACAATGCACTAGATTATGCTATTCGTAATCCGGTTATCTACGTCTTGCTTAATTGTAATTAAGATATTATATTTTACAAAATATGAAATACGTCTGTATGTCTGTCTTACTTGATTATTTTAGTAGGAGATGCTCCTGTATTATGGAGTTTTTTAAGCATAGATTGCACTTAAACTGGCATACATACCCAGAATAATTATTTGTAGGCTATAATAAACGCTTGTTCCGTGTGAGATTTGAACCCGTGGTCGTCAGCGCCGCAGCTAAATGCTTAGCTACTGTACTAACGGGCAGTTTCCGTGATTTCGTATAGTATTTCGATGTTCCATATTATTAATATTATTATTTTAAACGTAACATTTACACTAGGATTTTCTCCTGTATCGTGGGTGCAATTTACATACATGAGTTTCACACGGACTAACATACAGACTCGGAACAATTATTTGTAGGCAAATACTTGTTCCGTGTGGGATTCGAACCCGCGCACATTAGCGCTGCAACTCCTTGCTTAGCCACTGCACAACGGAGCCGTCAAACGATAAGCCGAATTAGCTTTTAATAATTTTAGTTTTATAATGTTAGCCTTAACCGATGATTTTTTTATAGGATAGGGTGACAAACGAGCACACTGTCCACCTGATGGTAAGTGGTTGCTGTAGCCCATAGACATTTACATCTATCTATCCTCGATTACGAATCAAAATACAGACGCGTTATCACCCGTGGGGATAAGATGAAATGCCTCGTTTCCAGAACAAAAGAGTCTCCGGTTCTCTACACTCACCATACGAAACACAGCATCATTTAGCTCCTGTTTTACGTTGGTATTCTGTGAGAGCGTGGTCCTTCTCCGGTCGAGCCAACCCATTCGTGTTACAACTATACTACTAATACAATTGCAACATGGCTCTACCACGTATAAAAGTGTTATATAAAAGTCTGCTTATTGTTTTCTATTCTAGGTTTTAGTTTAAAGGCCATTAAAATAAATAATTAACGTTTTAACTACCTGTGCGAATAAAATACAAAATAGGTAAATTCGTTTCTCCAAATGTCGCTTTATGTAATTATTGGTTTAGATTGGTTAATGACTTTGATTAGGCAAACATTATTATTGTTTGAAAAACATAGTATCAAAGATGTTTTATAGGTAAAAACATTTTTGCATAGTATCTTTATTTTTACGAGCTGTGGTTTGTTAAAGACAGAAGTTTTACGTCGACGTTCCATTACACACGGCAATAAAAAGTTGATCTTTAACTTTGATACCCAGTAATGAGTTTTAATGTACAAAAAGTTTATATTTCCTTATTCTGTATAAAAAATGGCTACATAATCTTTCATACAATCTTATATTTGCTAAATATCTTAAATAATTCATTAATACCCTTTACTTACCACCATATATATATATATATATATATATATATATATATATATATATATATTTTGTTTTAACTATTTTAAATATGAAAATATAATGCTGACGACACATGATATGAGCATTTTATACGTGGTAAAAAGTTACGCTGCAGCTATCTTATAGTTGTAACACGAATGGGTCATCTCAATCGGATAAGGAGCATGCTGTCACCGAATAGCAGCATGAAATAGCAGATTAACGCTGCTGTTATAGTGAAAGTCATCAGTGGTGACAACGCATCTGCATGTTTATAATTAATCGAGGATATATGTTGATGTCTACGGGCCACAGCATCCGCTTACCGTCAGATAGCCTGTGTGCTCGTTTGCTATCCTCATTCTAAAAAATTCTCATTTTATAAATTAAGTCCATTTAATTTAATTTAGTGTGTAAATTAAAGGCAATTCAAGTGTTAGTAATGTAGCGATATCCATGATTGTGTCGTTGTAAAACTCGTCATTACGCTCTCTTTTCGACTACAGCGTGAATACTACCGCATCGTACCTACTACTCCATTTTTTTTAGAATAAGGGTGAAAAAAAAAGAAAAAACATGAGGGGTCCCCTCATGTACCGAGGACATGTGAGACTGTCCACGTTTTGTGACCGCTGAGTACAGAGGACATGTATGCATGTCCGCATTACGGTCTGCTATTTTCGTCATTAATTGATATAAAAATACAGTATATTTTCGATTGAACACTATTTCATTCGATTCTGAACGAACTAAAGAGTATTCTGAAGAATTAAGTGGATTCTGTGGCTTGTAGAGATTTATATCTACTTTCGATTAAGAATCAGAATGCAGATGCGTTGTCCTCCCTGAGGTTGAAGATGAAAAGCGTCTCCGGTTTTATACACTCGTCTTAAGAAGCAAATTGACATTAAGTTGCTATTTTACACGGGTATGACGAGAGCGTGGTGCTGCCCCGGTCGAGCCGACCTATTCGTGCTGCCACCATAATATAGCTGCAGCGTGGCTCTATATTCCATATATATATTCCTCTATATGGAATTCTATATTCATATTCCTATAATGTTAGCTATAGCAAGTAACAATAAGATTTCATAAATCAATAGACAGTTTCTCTGTCCGAGAAAAAGACGCCAATAGTTAGACAATTGAAGTGTTCATATACAATACATGGGACAGGGAAATGATGAAGCAATAAAAACCATAATAAAATACTAAAACTAAAGACTTACATTATCGTACAGTACTACTCCCCGCGGTATAGTACCAAAATAGCTGGCTGGGTTTCCTAGCTATCAAGCTTCAAATTAGGCGGCATTGTGTCACATAAATTATTAAAGGATGTAATTAAAATTTAGACGAAATCAGTAAATTAGGTCTTAGTGGATACTTTTTCTTCCTAAAATTTCTTTTTTTGGTGAATATAAGCGATGTAGCGGAACCTTACCTCACGCGCCCATGGCCATTTTATTTATCTATATAGAATATTATTTAAGCATACGACCTTCCAATGTTAATCATAGCAACTTCTTCCGGTTAGTACCAGAATTCATTTAATTATAGTGCTACGCCTCTGTTTGTGAGCGTCACCATCCTCACACAACACGAGCACAGAATTATAATGTAAGAGGGTTTTGTTCGGATTTAAACCAGTAGTCGTGTGTGAATTGTTCATTTCTAATGACCAATCGATCAAGTAATGATTCTTTAAACGAACCGGGACATTTCGATCGATCGTTTTTTTTCTTGTTTTAGGGATTTTTGTGAGGTAACATGTCAATCCCATTAAAACTGACTTAAATCTATACGTTTGCTATTAACCTGCACATACTCAATGATCATATCCGAGGTGCGGGCATGTAGGATGCCCTGCGCACATTTGGCTTATATGTCTACAAATAATTACCTTACCCCTCTGTCCGCTCACATTCCATTAAAAATGATGTAAATCTTGTATTACTCCCCTAGATTCACAATTAGGTGAACCAGTTCTTTTCATCAAGTAAGAATTTTTTTTTTGATGATGGATCGTTCATGTGGCTCATTTCGGGCTGCATTACTATAGATCATATATATTATATATATATATGTATATAATATAAATAACACACATTGTCTACCTGCACTGTCCACAAATAATTTGGTTGGTAGGTAAATTTGATCACTTTCGTAATCCGCGCAATATAGCCACGGGTTGAAAAGGTTGAGACAATTGTTTGTGATAGGTAGAATCCAATTGTTTTAAAATGTGTTGAAAAGAAGTTCATCAATATTACGCGATTAAGACACAAAATTAGAACCCAGAAGAAAAACCGATCGCTTAGTCTTGAAAATGTACACATTATATATTAATAAAGATCTCCGAGAGCCGAATGTCGCGAGGCTATTGAAATTTAAAAAAAATATCCTTACTTCAGTAGATAAGATGTCTGGATGCCATCATTTGCTTGGGATCCCATAATTAACAAAATTAAATTCTAACTCAAGCATACTACTCCAAGACTTCAAAATAATGTAAGCTCGTTCTGCATAGATCGGACCAAAAATTAAAAGTTGAAGATAGTCTTCGTTAACTACGACATTAGAATATCAAACACCTTAGTACCCATAACCATGGGTGCTATGAATTGACCGGATCCCCATAACCCATATCGTCTTGGAGTGACAGAGTAAAACAAACCACGAGATGGGCACCAGCATCTTTCTTTAAATAATTATAAATAGAGAATTGCGCCAACATTGAGGGAGGCCAATGTTCAAATTGTAGACTTTGGATATCTTCTTTATCTTCTTTTTTTCTTCTAAAAAGGTTACCTTCACACTAGGAATTTCTCCTGTATCGTGGGGGCAGTTTAAAAACATAAATTTTACAAGAACAAACATCCAGACCCAGAACAATTATTTGTAGGCCATACAAATTTTTATTCCGTGCGGGATTCGAACCCGCGGCCCTTAGGGCTGTAACTCATTGTTAAGCCACTGCGTCACGGAGCCGTCATATAGGCTGAAATGTTAATCATCCGTCTTGAAACTCAAATTTATTTGAAACATTATTTCATACGCTTAACCGTTTTCGGGATGGAGGGCGGTGAGCACGCTGAGCTCAGCCATACGTACTATAATGCAATCGTGAATATCTGTGCATACTACTTTAATGCCAATACCTTACAAATATTAATTCCTGGAGTCAATGATAACAATATTACCACCAGCTCCTGATGAATTACTTAATTCTCT